CCATTTTGTTTTAAGAATTCAGTTCTGGATCCGTATCCGAGACATGTCTGGATTGATCAAGTTCAAACTTCACACACACAAGGTACATCATGTCACAAATATGTATGTGCATTTGTTTCATGATCTCATTAACGATAGCCAAATGGGGGCCGCTTTAAGGCCGAAAATGCATTGAAATCGCACATTTTCACCATTCCGGACCCATATCTCAGTTATGCATGGATGGATTTTGTTCAAATTTGGTACATACATTAAACATAATAGGACCTTGATGCACGTCTTTTTTTTTTCGGATCAAGTTCGAAATGGCCGACTGGCGGCCATTTTGTTAAAGAATTCAGTTCTGGATCCGTATCCAAGACATGTCTGGATTGATCAAGTTCAAACTTCACACACACATGGTACATCATGTCACAAATAGATATGTGCATTTGTTTCATGATCTGCTTAACAATAGCGGAATGATGGCCAATTTAAGGCCGAAAATGCATCAAAATCACGTATTTTCACAATTCCAGAACCGGATCTCAGTCATGCATGGATGGATTTTGTTCAGATTTAGCACAATGTGTTGTACATATGCAGGTGCATTTCGGTCATGATCTGCTTTGAATGTATTTGTCACTCAAATATGAACGGAACGGGGACGTGTCATTGACAATGACTTGTTTTTCTTGAATATTTGCTCTATCGATTTTCATATATAATATGTGCAGTAGTATGTGGGTAAAATCTCTTTCTAAAGTCTATAATAAAATATAATTCACATTAGGGAGGACGGAATTTTAGCATTATTGACCTTGACAGTGTTTACATTTATTCCTAGCTGTTATTTGTGCCAATTTGCTGACTTTCACTTGAGTACCGCTTATATGTACTCCATGCCTCAAATACCTTCAGCACACGGGAGTTCTTTGTAAGTTTTCTTTGATTTTTTACTAACAAGGCTAGATGGCTTGAAGAATTTGAAATCATGAAGAATTACGAGGCTCAACGAGAGTCGTTAGCGATGGTGACTAGATTTGCCAATGACTACTTATCACGTGAATTTACAAACGTAACGGTCACAGATGCTGAGTTCAATGGCATCAATGTGCGAATGTATGAACCGAAGATACGTGAACACGACTTGCTTCCGGCACTTATATTTATACATGGTGGAGGATGGACTACTCTCAGCGCAGGTGCGTAAAATTCGGATTACTATTCGTATTCGTATATTTATACATTGGTATTCTGTAAAACAATTACGCAACAATTTTTAGGTTTGTTCCATCATTCAATGTATTTATTAAATGAGCTGATACATATTGAAGTTGGTTTTTTAAGATACGTTTTTTTATCTGATATTATGCTGGGGTAATTTAAAATGTCTGCTCGCTAAAAACAAAACAAGGTCAATGAAAAGGTGTCTTGAAAATTGGTTAGCTTTAATGCAAAACCTACGAAGAAAAACAGTACTAGTAGATCTACTAATCGAACAAAATGCATCGAAGCTATTGTAATTGAACCTCTTATTGAATGTCAACAAATAAATAATGATACGTTTTAAATTTACATAAACATTAACGTTGTACCAGAGTTGTAATATTGTCAAATCGGTGTATGATTGTTTCGAAAAAAATGTATAGAGAAGTGGGTTTGTACATATATTACATCAAGGTATGCAAAACTCATAAAACTGTGCAAATAATTACCACTTTTCAACTATGGATAAAACCATCACTTTACACTGTATAGTGTATAACGTTAAATGGAGTATTCAAACTAATGTACTCCATTCTTATTTTGTCTTGGTTTATATATTGACAGAAGCGTACGATGATGTTGCAAAGGATATAACAGATATGATAGGCCAGGTTGTTCTCGTGTCAATTGAGTAAGTACATATGATTATACATAATGCATCTAGACGATTTGATGACAATCCTTTGACTTATGGATCTGATTATCAAAATCTTTGTGTTTTTTCCCATAGTGCTGCACTGTATTTGCAATACTACACTATTGCCTCATTGTTCTGTGTATGCACTGATTCTCCCTCAAGTTAACTGTGTTGTGTAGTTTCTTATGTAAGTCACATACACATCGGGTTGATCAGCGACAAAATCTTTTTGCCACGAAATGAAAGTGAAGCTGCGTGTGTTTTGGTCTAGGAAATGCATTTACGTTAACTCACAAGTATATAAAGAAAAATATAAAGAAAAAACGCACTGTAACCTAAGATTTAAAAATCATTGTTGTACATTTTGGTGCTAGGATAGTTTAATTTGTACGTTAAATTGTACGAGTAGTTAAATGACGGAATCTTATAGCTTAATACGTCGCATACCACAGTTGTATGTTAATTTCAATTCAAATTATTAAATCATTTGTTATATGACGTCCTATGACGGCATATCCTCTTTCAAAGTATACAGAAAACACGTTATATGTATTATAACTGACAGTCTTTGTTATCATCTTTTCAGTTACAGCCTCGCCCCAGAAAACTTCTTTCCTGGTCCCGCGAATGAATGTTATACTGCAACAAAATGGCTACTTAAACATGCAGACAATTATAAGATTGACGCTAAAAGGATCGGCATCTCTGGGGACAGCGCCGGTGGTAATTTGGCGGCTTCTGTTGTTTTGCGATTGAAGTCGGAAAGGATAACACCAACATTAAAATTCCAAATATTGATTTATCCAGCACTGCAACCAATTGACATGAATTTACCATCCTATCAGCAAAATAACTATGCTTTTGATGGACTACTATCAGCGTCGGTTATGACATACCATTGGCTGCTCTATGCAATTGGAGAAGCGCCTGCTAATCTTACAGACGCCATTTTGTACAAGCAAATGCTTTCAAAAGTTCGACGTTCCAGTCACTCTCGTCTTACAAAATATATCCACCACTCGCTTCTCCCAGAACACTGTAAAACCCGTGGATTTGACCCAGACATTGAAGTTAAAAGAGCTGTCAAAGAAATTCCTGATTATATTTTAAGGATTTTACTTCATCCATATTTCGCGCCACTTTTAGCAGACGACCTCAGTGGGTTGCCTCAGGCTTACATTTTGACGGGCGAATTTGATGTACTGAGGGATGATGGGATACTCTACGCGGAGAGATTGAAAGAAGCCATGGTAAAAGTGACCCTTAACAATATTGCTGATGGTTTTCACGGCATGTTGAGCATGGCCTATGAAACAAGTGGATTTGAAGTTGGAAGACGCGCTAAGAGAGACATTGCAACTTTCGCCAAAATGAAATTTTATCCCAGTGGAAATAAATAGGTCGTCATTCTCTATTTGTTTTTAGTGGGCTTGCTCACACCTTTAGTTTGTTATTTGTTCTTAAATTGTGTATCTTTGTATTAAAAAACGTATTTCCTAGAAATATTTTTGTAATTTCTTTGATGATTCAGTATTGTTTGTCCATGGGAGGGTGTGTTAGACATTGTATGGCAATATATCTTTATGTACGAAAAACGTACATTCTTCGGCAGACTGAAGATTTGTGTCAGAAGTAGGGAAAGTTGCGGGTAATTTGTCGGAAATACAGTTTTCGAAGGTATATTATTCCCAGATTATCTATTGGTAACGGGTTCTTGTTTTATTATGTTTATATAATGTATATGAATTTGGTTTCTATATTTTCCACCGAAATTTCCTTTTAGTTAAATTTTCCACTAGTAGTGAATATTAGGCAATTACAATACATACGTAGTATCTGATCAACCAATGTGCTGTTATTTGTCGAGGAAATATCAGTCACGTGGATGGAGCAGTTGTAGTACAGGAAAATGAGCTATGTATATATTGACCATATTGCATCTTTTCTACTAAAACATAAAATATATTTATAGACTATTATAGTCGATCTATGATAATCCCAAAACTGTTTCAAAAGCATCTTAATAAGTTCGCAGAATATTTGAAGGGGGCAAGGGTTATTTTCGTTCAACGTAATTGCAATATTTTTTTTGTTCGTACAACGTAAATTGAAAAAATAAATCCCGTAATTCTGTAATCACAGGTTAGACGTACAACGTAATCAATTAAATATTTTTTTTCGTACACTGTAAAAATGTGTAATTTTTGTCGGTACTTACAAGAATTTACATCCAAATAAAAAAAAGTCGTAAAGAATAATCCAGGGATTCGAAATTACATTTTCGAAACTGTAAAATAAAACGACTAGATGATACAATTCACTGCAAAATTCAATTTTCACTGTAAACTGTAAAAATGACTTTTTTTCCTTTTAAATTGTAAAAAGCCCTTTTTATTTCACGTAAAACTGTACCAACTACCCCCTTACCCCTCCTCTTTGAACAAACATGATTGTCATTGCCGAATCACCACATTAAGTATCGTAAAGGAAAGTAAACATTTTCTTGGCATAGCGTGACGGGATGTGGAAAGATTGGTCACTTATGTCATACAGTCATACTTGACGTAGATCGGTTATTGTTCAACTGTGTGATTAATTTGAAAAATGCATGCCACTCTAATTACATTACAGGTTTGTGTTTGATCGAATCATAATTTTCATCTACTGGATAACGCAGATGCAGGTATTCTGAGGTCAGCAATAAACAATTAAGTGGTTTTATTTAGCAAGTGGAAAATTACGGTTTATAGAGAATATATAATCTGAACAACACATGATGTAATATGAATTCATTTTAACCTCGCTATGGCGCGCAATGTGTCACAGTGTAAGGCCTGCTTATTGCAATTGAGATGGCCACCCAGAGAACTCACACTGGACAGGAGGTTCTTCCACCGCTAGAATGGGGTAGATAAGACAATAGTACTGGAAATGGAATACACATACACCAAAATATCGGGTTAAAGCTCCTTGCTTTAATACCTCTCAAAATAATTACAAGAAATAAAGCACACAAAAATACAATGAATAAAGTCACTAAAATGGGGGATTGCTTAGTGAAGTGTGCAATGGTGATAACTCGCTGTTCCAGGATGCAGAAATGGGTGACAGTCAATGGCTTCTGCAACACAACAACAACGAATTACCAAAGTCTTGCTTGCAGAGGAACGCTGGTATTCTGGAGGGCACCACTGAAAGCAGGAGATCGCAGAGAAGTTCATACAGGTCTCACAAAATGATGATTGAAGCCTGTATCACAATATATATATAATTACAGTAGCTACACACAGGGTACACAATTGAAATGATATGGACCCCCAACTGTCTTTCCAGAGTTAAAAACAAGTATGACCTGTCAATCACCTTATGACAGCTATCACACGGCAATGCACACCAATACTTCCCATGATTCCATGCACACTTCTATTTGCAGGGTTTGATGTAATATGACAACAACATAGAATAAAAGATTAGATATGATAATATAAAATTGATCAATCGCATTTCTCGAAATACCTTCGTAAATTTTCCCTATAGCGGTAGTACATACTGGATACAATGACCACGGTGACATCATACCTATGACCACGGTAACACCATACCTATTTTCCCCCACAATGACTTGTAACACGACACGCCATCAATGGTACGTCTAAGGTGACCGATCTGTTAAATTAGGACAACTGGTCGAGTTTTACGGAATAATATGCACTGCGCGATTTTATTGTGGTTAATTAGTTCGCATCGGCATCAAAATACACCCATGAGACATAAATCACTATTTTTTTCCCGGGTGTTATCATACACACATGTATCGTATTCGAGAAACATCTATACATTTTTCCAGGGTAAAAAATATGTTCATAATTGTGCGATGGCGCAGACAAAATCCTGACGCGTATACATTCACTGTAATAGATGAAATGTCGTCAAAAGTTCGCTCGAGGTAACAGACCAATTTAATCTACACATCAGGTACATCTGAGGTATATTTTACATATATATCCATTTTCCCGATTTCATCATGTTCATACGTTTGCTAATCTGGATTAATATATTAATTTTTCCAGAATATATATTTTAATAATTTTGCGACTGTGCATAATGAATCTCTGCGCGTATATTTATTTAAACATTCACTGTAAAAGATGGCATGTCATTAAAACGGTCGTCGGATGTAACTGGGCCGTATAGACCTCGCAACAGATCGTGTCTTATACAATAGTAAGCGTTGTGCCATTCTGTTGGGATTATTCAATTCATATCGACATCACAAGACTTCTTTGATATACAGATTTACAGCTTGTTCCGGATTACGTAATGCATCCACATATCTAAAATCTGTCCGAGGCAATATAGATATATACTCATAATATGCACACTGTGCAACCGTGTAAGAGAAGCCTGGCTAGTGTGTCCACCCATACAAGTAAGGTATGTAACTTTACTTTACAATTTAACGGCGAATTTTCTGCTCACAGTAGCGATGACCATTTGGAGAGAGTTCGAGTCTCGCTTATTGTATAATCGTAATGTGCATGTAATTAGTATTTGGGCAGTTTTCTCTGTTCTGAGAAACGGATTTTCGAACGCTCTTGTTCGACAGCAGCATTCAGTTATCTGGGCATAACTTATCAACTGGTCCAACACTCTAAAAGCAAAACGTCAATGAATAATTCTTTGTTTCACTGACTATCTACTAAACTCTATATTTGCCACATTTGAATGCACTAATTAATATACAGACATATACACGCTGACCGTATGATCTTGATTTCACTGTTAAATATCTTTTTAAGAACATTTGATTTGTATTCATGAAATACCACGAAATGCCAAAAATGTAGTGATAGCTTAAAGCTTGTTTCTACGCCGAATGACTATAATTCGGAATTCGGAAGCATTAATTATTTTAGCTCGCCTTATGACTGCTCAATTTACATACTACACTCGGCGAGTATTCATGGTAGTCAAACTATCACATGACGTAATTAGTTTGGCATTTAATATAAAATAAATTCATTTTGTATTACATTATTTCACAGATATTTGATATTCAGGATGCCAATTTTATTACAATGCTTGTTAGTCGCCACTTCATTGACGCTGACAACGTGCAGTGAGGTAATTTCATTATTTTCATTCACACTCATTCATTGTATTAATGTGATCTTGGGTATTAAACAAACTATGGGTATTTTAAATATATCATCTTGATTTTATGCATATTTTTGTTTGTACAGGATGGGCTTTCTAAATGGGTTTTCCCGAAACAGACTCGTGAGTTACACCTTATGTTTATACAAAGTTAATGCATGTGATATGAATACTAATTATGTACATCTCATGTTATGTTATGAACTGCGTGGCAAATGCGTGGCATTAACAAAGTAAATATAGCAATACCAATTATAGTCACAAATAAGAATTTACAATTTGAAAAGCACAACAAAATACAACGAAATTAACAGCCAAACAATTTACACAAGAACACAACAACTGACAAGTACATAATATTAACTGGGTGCGTTCGTCCATAACTCGTTACGATGTTGTGAAAACAATTTTACTGAAAGAAACAGTGTTATACAGAGGAGCATCTATAATCAAACAAAAAGTCCCTCTGCAACATCTTTACATTGACTCAGAGTACAACACATAAGTATTACGGAAGCAAAAAAATCATTTTTCACTCAAGTGTCATAAGTCCATCGTGGCTGGTTCTCTATACACTCTCGGAAGTAACTGAAGATTGTTGTCGTGATATATTTATTTGATAAACGATACAATTTCATTTGAAACACTTTCCTGCATGCAATATTTGTATGGATATATATATATATATATATATATATATATATATATATATATATATATATATATTGTCAATGTAATTTTTACGTACTCTTCTATTATGTTCTCAGGTGCTGAGGCAGCTTGTCCTGGTGAGTCCGGCAAATATGTTTTCTGTCTTAACGTGATAGATGGATTTGTCTGTGATCTGTATGTATTTACACGCATTTTGTTTCTCTTTGTAGCACTTGAATATTCTGCCGATGTCATGACTGAAGCCGACACTCCTGTTGCTTCGATGTGCCGAGCCTCGTGTCAAGCTGACGAAACGGAAATATGTGACTACGATGTTAATGTCTTACCCTGTGGTACGTCGGACGACAAATTGGGATGCAAGTCGTGTGCTAATAATGACGGTAAGCTATTGTCACTCGATAAACTTGATTCCTATAGCGGTTATTGGATAACACCTTTTAGTGGCATTGATTAGATGTGTACACAATGTATTACCAACCACAATTTATTCCGACTTGATTCATATATTGTTTAACATTGGCATTGTAAGAACATAAACACAAAAACAACACATGAACTGTTTATGTTCACAGTCGCTTTGCATTATTTTGCGATTCTTTGTGACAGTTCGTCCTTTTATAACTGGAAACTTTATTTGTTTCAGTTCTGGAAAAGAAGCAAGGGCTTGGTTTTAATATATGTAATTGGTTTTGTCGTAAGTTATGATTATATCATTTTAACACAACTAGTTGTAACGTATCTACCCAGTGTTTTGCAGGTATTATATATTGTTACAATAATAAGTAATATAAGAGAACTCGCATGTCATCTATAAATTATATTTGACAATCTAGTAATGTTTTCAAATTACAGACAACAATTGCGAAAAATATGGAGGGACGTGTAGACTGTTTACATGTAGAAAGGATGAGCGCTTAGGAAAGGTGGGAACTTGCCCACTGCCATGGCTATGCAAATGTTGCAAACGTAAGAATATTTAAGATACACAAACCAATACATACGTTATCTCGAATCACTACAGTATTTATTTCAACAAAACTTTGTCATTATAAATATTTCATATTATTTCTCTTTTCATTGCAGCAATACCAAGTGAGTTGGTTTTTATATCATATTCTCTTTTAAGAAAATTACGTTGAATAATATTTGTAAAGTTTCAAATTCGTTTCTCAAACATAATGAATTGTAACTTGTTGATCTCAGATGAAAATTTAAGTAGTGAGTTGTTAAGTAGTTCTCTTTGTTTTACTTGAGTCATGCAATGAATATAATGTTCTATCACAGCGACAAAGCCATATACAGGGCCACATAAGGAGCCTGCTCATGAACTGGGTGACCCACAATTCCGTACATTCGACGGCTTTCATTACATGTATAATGGTCACAGTGATTGCGAGTACGTATTCTTTCAAGAGTGTGTGCCTCGTCCATCATTCACTGTTTTGATCAGACACCATTATCTGAAAGAAGCTATGAAAATGGTGGTCACTGAAGTGTCAATTGTTCTTAATGGGAACCGTGTAACCTTGATTGAAAACAGACTTTACGTGAGTACATCTCTGTTCTCTCCACTATGGTGTACACTTGTTTGGTTACTTTGAAAAAAAATCGAAAATAGTATTATATAATATTATTTATATTTGCTAATGTATTTTTCAATATACTTTCTAGATAAATGGCAAAATCCATAATCTACTGACTCCACTGATACTTGGAAATCTTACAGTGAAACGAGACAATGCAGGATATGTGAGAGCAACACTGGATTCAACATTTACATTGACATGGAACGGCAAAGGACGCGTTGCTCCTGTTCTAAACCAATCTATGTTCGGAAAAGTATGTGGCTTGATGGGAAACGCTGACGGGGACCCGTCTAATGATATGCAGATCCCGATGCCAGATGGGAAACTGAAATTAGTTACTGAGTCTGATAAATTTGGGGACAAGTGGATTGTACCAGGAAGGTAAACACACCATATACTATATTAAATATTTAGTTGCTTGTTCGTTATCAATGAGCCCAACAATTATGTGTTGGCTACACACTGTTTAATTTTAGAGCTATATGGCAAGCAGAACAAAATAAAAATTGATTAAAATATACCAACACTAAGTTATACATGATTGTGTGGTTTACAAATAGACATTATCTCTGTTTTAGTCCCTTTCTTGGTGACGGAGTTTCAATCATGAATGGCTCTATGAGTTTGTGTACATTTGTTATGAAATTGTTACAC